TATCCATATGGGACTCCACCGTAAATATATTTATCTATTTAGTACTATATTGGAAATAAGCTTTCTGAAGAAGCTTATCACTTCGGTACCCGGCNATTATATTATGGATGTTCATTTAGTACTCCGTTGTAAATAAGCTTCCTGAAGAAGCTTATCCATATGGGACTCCACCGTAAATATATTTATCTATTTAGTACTATATTGGAAATAAGCTTTCTGAAGAAGCTTATCACTTCGGTACCCGGCTATGGATAAATATTACCCCCAGTAGAAGTTTATCCATACCGGGTATAATAAGCTTATCTTTTCAGTACCTGGTTATGGATAAACATTACCCCCGGTAGAAGATTATCCATACCGGATATAATAAGCTTATCCATTCAGTACTCCGTTATGGATAAATATTGCTCTCAGTAGAAGATTATCCACATCTGGTACAGCAGCAGCTTACACAGCAGCTTGTAGCAGCTTACACAGCAGCTTGTAGTAGCAGCTTACACAGCAGCTTATAGTAGCTTACACTGCAGCTTGTAGTAGCAGCTTACACAGCAGCTTATAGTAGCAGCTTACACAACAGCTTATAGTAGCAGCTTACAGAGCAGCTTCCTTTCTTCTATAAATAGAAGAGATTTCAGTTCATTATGTACATCAGTTTGAGTTCGAATAATATATCAGTCTCTCTCTATACTTGTCTTTACTTTACAGTCTTTATTTTATAACAGAAATAACTATTTTCCCCATTTTAGATTAAATATGAAAGATACAAAAGTTTCTGAAGCTTTAGTTTGATGAGTGTTGTACATCATCTTCATCTTAAATTCGGTGAGAAATCATGAATGATTTACTATGCTTTTATCATAGCGATAAAAATATGATCAAAACATATACTTAATTGACATGTACTAAAGTACTGAGTTTTCAATTCAAAAGAAAGTTATGAGTACTCTTTTTACTAAAATAGATTTTCAAAACTTGCTCAAAGAAAACTCTTTTAGTAGTATTTTTTATTGATTAAAATAGAATAAAGGTATATAAAAATATTTTCTCTCGGTTCATTGACCCTATTTGTGTCTTTAGGATGAACTTGAAAATAACAATTCAAAACGTATTTTAAATTTTTTTTTAAATCTTCAAGACTTGCGTAATCTTGCTAAAAATAGAAAGAAAGTGACAAAATTATGAAACTAAAATAAATTTTAAGTTGAAGGACTTTTATAGGACAACTTCTTTCTTTATTGTATTAACGGTATAGAATTAATATTCATTCTTTTCTAAGAACATATATATTTTATTTTATACCCTGAACACAATTTCTTATACTATATACTATAATAAAGTAGGCATTTATGAGATTTTTTTTAAAAAAATTACAGCAACACGCGCAACGCGCGCGTACAGCCTAAATGTTGTCCACTGCTAAGGTCCAATACATTTTTTACCCCGTTAAGCTCCACTTGGCCACTAATCATATTTCATGTTTACGAATACTGATTTGACCATCAGTTTTTTGTAAAATTTTAAACTTAAATATTTAAGATATTTGAAAAATATGAAAAAACTTATTTTAGGAGTATTTCAAGCATAAATACTTATGTCAAACACAATTTCATTGTTTTGTCGTATATCTATTGCTTGAGAATCAAGTAAAAATACTATTATATACGGTGCCATTATTTCGAAATCGGAGAACTGCATCGAGGGTCAGCCTCATAATGGATCAGGCCTGAGCACGAAAACAAGGTACCGAGTTCAGAGATCGAGGTATCCATTGAGATCGAGATCCCCGACGATCGAGACCAGATGTGATCAGCTTCGAGCGGAACGCAATAATGGAAAGGCGAAATATCCGTAACCGGTCGAAGATCACGGCGGAAATCTCGAAATGGATCAAATCAAGGGTTGTTATTTGTATCAATCATGGGATTTACTTCCGTAATTAGAATTGTACCACAATTAGGATTCCTCTAGTATATAAAGAGGGGTCCCCATCATTTGTAAACACCTTACATTCAGAGAGATCAAAGCAATATAATATTTCTCTATTGTTCATCAATTTATTGTTCTTTAATTGTTCTTACTTTACTACTCTCGAGGGTTTACCAACTTGAGGATACTGTCTCAACATCGGTTTGCTTTATATTCTTGTCAATTCCATCACTTATCTCTAAATAAATCAATTGGTATTAAGTGAAATTACGTGTCCTTAAAATCACATTATAAGTTTAATTGTTACTCGATTTTTAGGTTAAACAACTATCAATTATTTTGCGTTTGAGAGAATAAAGTAAAATTACTATCAGTTAGTTTGTGAGAAAAACGCATAGGGCGAACATGGTAATTAAACACTTATTCGCATTCAGAATTTAAACTAAGCCGGTAAATGTAAGATATTTATTTGTCATCGTATACTTATCAATTCCATTTCCAACCGTATAAGAGACAAAAGAAATACTATGAAAATTCAAAGTTTAAATCAGAGGATATTGTTCTAACATAGTAATAAACTTCGATATAATTTTTTTTTTTTTTGTAGTGAACTACAAAATCAATTGACCGTTTAAATCACCACGTCAATATCTAGACTAGATAGTGTGAACTCTTAACAACTTACCATATTTAAGCAATCCCAAGAATAAAAAGAGAATAAAATCCAATTTAAGGATCAATAAATGGAAATAAAATAAAAACGGAGTGGCATTTACGCCAAATTACGTGTCTATCAATGTCAAATGGCACCACCTTCATCTGAAATTCGTGCTAAGCTTTATTTTTTTTATATATATACTTCCTTTTGAAGCACTCACATTTATTGAAATTCCAAAAGACTAAAAAAACCAAAAATGCTCTGACTTTACGAGGACGTGTGGCATTCATGAAGTGATACTTGGAATTCCAAAACAGCACCCAGAAACCAACGTCTTGCATGGCTTTGCAGTCTTCTTGAATTTTCATTACTCACAGTTCTTTATTCAACAATCATATTACTATTCAAATTCTTGATATTCGCAGTTCATGGATTGTAGAGGAAAGAAGAAGTGACAAGAGGGAAACTCTGCTGTAAGTATAGCCTTTGCATGTTAAGAGGTAATTCTGGAATTTTATCTTTGGAACCCCTTTTGGTCTTAGATATAGTTTATTTACCCTTATTTTGTAAGGATTTAAATTGTAAATTATAATAATTTAGTGCTATTTTTGTCATGTACGGCTCATTTTTCTTTTAAGAAGATTTATTTGGAGCTAGAAACTTCAAACTTGCTGAACTATAGGTAACACTTAGGGCAAAGCTGTGCATGTTGTATTTATCCATATACTAGAGGAGAGTCCTAATACATGTAGAATACAATCTTAACCTATATCTAACAATTATTATCTTTGTGCCTTTTCTTTCTTCTTTTTCGTTTTTGGGGTCCAGAAATCTTGGTATCTTGGTTGAACTACTCTCAAAGGATTATCAATTTTCTGCTAGTTCAGTTTTTCTTTTGAAATTGCTCTGTTAAATCTTTTTTTGTTTTGATTCTTCATCTTCCACCCCCAAACCCAAACACCCCCC